ACTTGATGCTTGAGAATGAGGGACAGTGTGTCTTTCCCTTAGTTGTATTACTCCTGAATTCTAATCAGCTACAGTGGACAGCTGAACCCTAGTCTGGAAATGATGAGCTGAAATCAATTTTGGATACGTTGGATCCCCCCCCTTTTTTTCAAAGTACATTTTATCTTGTATGTGAAATCTTCTTTGGCCAGCTGACAGCTGTGTGTTCTAGTAGTAACGTGGAACGTAAGGAAAGCTTCTTCCTCTGTTGTGCCAGTATATTCAGTGTTCTCCACCAAAAGTGGACTATTTAGGCACACAGGAATCCTGCCGTCAGAAACACTACAAAACTGGTAGGCGTAGTATTGGATCCCTTGCGCCTCTTTCCTTTTTCATTAATTTTAAAATAGATAAGGACTAGGCATGGTTTCTGGTCCTATGTATATAACACAGCCCTAAACTTCCAGGTAAGAGTCTTTGGAAAATACAATCAGAGAGCAGTGTGGTAGTTAACACTAACCATGTGTGCACCACAAGCCATTTGCAATGTGCCAGAAGTGAACGTCTCCTTAGTTAATGCAGCACAATTACAAAGTGGCAATTTGTTAATTTGTGGTAACTCAGTTGCTTGTGATATCTGTTCAAAGATCCATAATTGACCAGAACAATACTTTGACTAATAATACTGGGCATCACAGCAGCATTACTTTAGGTCTCTAGGACTTTTCTTTTGCTCTAAATGTTAGCAAAGCCTCTTGTTATAATACATGTATGTTGTGAATGAGTACTTCATTTTTATGATTTTTCTATCTTGTTTGTGCATGGTTGCACACAGAACCAAAGTATGTTCAGATTATCAGTACCTACAGAGAGTGCAACTTCTTGGAGTTTGTTCACATTATTTACTAAACTTACTGATTTTGCTCTTTTAATGTTGTATGTCAGGTATTTACAAATGTACATTTACTCATAAGAAGTTGGGAATTACCAAAGAGCAGCTTGCAGGAAAAGTATTGCCCCATCTGATTCCTCTTAGTATTGAGAACAATCTTAATCTCAATCAGGTAGGAACATGACTATTTTGCATGCTTTTACTTGATAAATTGGTAGAGAATTGGTTTAAACTGCTGTCACAGAATTTGTAGGTTTCTGTATGTCTGTGTCTGATGTGAAAAATGCTTCCAGTATTACTGTATTTGCATGCTTAAAGGCTGTTGTTTATTTAGTGGATCTAACTGATATAGTATAAAATTTCAAAATGAATACCATCACATTTCTGAAGTTGTATATCAGTTGTATATCCTAGCCTTTTATGTCCTTTTTACAGTTTTAAATCTTTAAATGTTTAAAATCTTTTAAAATTTTAAAGTTGTATTGCTAATATTTTCATTAGTAATTCCCCCCCAAAACATCCGGTTAAGCCTTTAGACTGAAATGTGTTTTTTAAACGAAAAATTATATCAACTAACAGACTTCTGTTATGGTAGATAGGTGTTTGAGTGGTTAGACCAGAATCACTAAGTTGTTTCTGATATTTTAGGGTAAGTCTGACGGGTATCTGTAGCCATGATACTAGCCCTGAAGAAGTAACTGAATGTATCAAATTGTGGGGCTGAAATAGAGGAAATGGAAGAAAAACTTCTAAGTTACGTGATCTATTCCCTTCTACTTGCATATTTTACACTACAGAGAATTGGGAAGTTACTGGGCAGTTGAACTGTTAAATTTGGTGATATTACTGTAGAATATGAAGAGACATAAGAAAAATAAAGTGATCGTGATAAGGTTAGCAAGATTTTTAAAACGGATGGATGGTAGTGCTTTTGAAATACGCTGCAAAGTATTTGGGAGAAAATTGAATGAAATTAAATCAAATCTGAGACAAAGAATCCCTGGAGTAAGAGTATACTGCCTCCCAAAAATCATGGTGAAGAAGTTAGCTAAGTAACATAATTACAATTCAAATAAAAAGCTACATTACAATCTTTATCTTTCTTCTCTTAGTTTTGTTTGTAAATATTGCAGATGGTGTCAAAGTGCAATCATGCTGCTATGAGTTAATTAGGAAATAGAATACCTAATACAATTTTTCTGGAAAACAAATCTAATAGTGTTCATCATGATCTTTTGGGTTTTTTTGTCTGGGTTGCCTCACAAGCATACATTCTGCTTGTAGCTGGTTATATCATCTGAGGTAGAGAAGCTGGAGTATAAATTATTTAAAATGTGCAGTTTATCTGACGTTGTATATTGTAAGTTTTATGTGATATTAACCTTTGAGCTCTAAATGTCTGGATTCTGACACTGCAAAATCCAAACTTCCTGTATGTTTCTTTTACAGTTCAATTCTTTTATTTGTGTTATAAAAGACATGCTCAATAGATTGGAGGCAGAGCATAAAACAAAACTTGAACAGCTTCATGTTATGCAAGAGCAACAGAAGTAAGTGTTTGTTTGCCTGTGTGCTAGAAAAAGCAAGTGAGCAGAGATGAATTTCAGTTCATCTTTTTAGCAAATGTGAGAAAACTCTTATCGATAGCAATATAACATACTTCAGTAATTGAGAATTACGCCAGGTGAGCATGATTGTCAGCAAAGATTTATGAGTCTTACAATGATAGTATTATTATGACATCAGTGGTTTTATTAAGCACAATCCTTTACACTTACATTGTGAAGTCACGGTTTATTAATTTACTCTGGGTAACTTTTAATGAATTTGTGAAGTATAAAAGTTCATACTGAGCTCCACTAGTTCGGTTTTATGTCAGTATACTCAGAATAGTTGCTCTTCTGTAGTTACTCAGAACACACACCACAGCGAAGAAACATAAACATAGCAGACCTTTAGAAGGCAAAGGTATTTGAAGATATCTATGCCTATTTTATGGAGGCTGATATAAGCTGAAATTTTCGAGGCAAATTAACTTGCCATCTGAAGTCTACATTACCCGTTTAAGGGAGAAAGTAAGACTTTTTGAAATGATCATTAGGAAACCTTTACACTTTAGAGTATTAAGGTTTTCCGGTCTCCTACAGCTATTGTGAATATGGCAGTGCTCTGATAATACATTTATTTTATATTGTTCAAATGCAGGGGGATAATCTGCGTTGCTGAATTAGTGTTGTGGATGTGACTGTACAGTTATCTTTTTGTAATATATATATATATACTCTGTACTGTATAGATCTTTGGATATAGCTAATCAAATGAGTGTATCTGAAGAGGGAAGATCTGCCGGTACAAATAATCAGGTAAGAGACAGTATTTTATTGCATTAGTTACATATAGAGGTTTGAAATTTAAAATCATCTAGTCAATATTTGCATCACCTTAAATTACAACATTTCAAATAACGTATGATTTTGTTTCTTCTAATTTAAACAGATTGACAAGGTATTTAATAGTACTGGAACTGACCTTCTAACTAGTGGATCTGATAGTAAAGAGAACGAGTTGTCATCAAAACAGAAAAAGGTGTGCTTTTTTTGGTTTGGAATTCTGTTACATGCATCTGTCTAATAGAAGGCTGATGTGCATAAGAAGAGTATGTGTAGATATTTGTCATATTTGAGGCTTTAAAGGAAAAATTAACTGCTGTTGCCTAGCACAACTCTGAGTAGTCACGTGTGAGGATGCACTGCAAAATGTTTAAACCACAGCCTTGAATTTCTGTGAAAAGCTGTCCTTGAAAAAAGCTTTGAGCAAAGTATGCATCAATTGGAATTATAAATTTTTGGTCATTTTTTTCCTCCTTAGTTACAGGTATAATGCATTATACTGAAACTTCAGCAGTGTATTTAAATATGAAAACCAAAGTGCTCAGGCAACTTCATTATAAAATTACAAAAGGAAATGAAGATCAAATGGAGAATTTCATGTAGTAGTAGAGACTAAAATTTACTATAAAAATTAAGAGTTAAGTGAAAATGAACAATAAATATGAAGATAAGTAAAAGAAGCAAAGAAAAAGCATTACATGAAATAGTTTACTCTTATAGGAGATATTCTCTTATAAAATCCTTCTCATGGCTGTTAAAATACAATTTCCTTTCCAACTCACTGTCAGTTGTAATTCTTTATCAAGTGACAGTTGGTAAAGTGTTCATATGAAAATAAAAAAACAAGCAGAACACTTTTTTTATGCCCAGCATTAAAAAGTCAAAGCTAAAATGGTTTTGTTATGATTAAATATCTGTATATTTGATACCTGTCCAGATTTTATCATTATGCTACCTTTAATATTGTATTTATTTGCCTTAAGTACTTGTTAACCGTGTGATAAATGTAATAATAGATTTTGTGCTTAGCCACTTTGTTTTTATATAAATAGTGCTCATTGTGTTTCAACACAGTGTTGAAATGACAGTGCTATTTATGAAATAAAAATAACATCAATACCTATATATACTGTCCAGCTTATTGTCAGTACTTTCCCTTTTAAAGGCATCACTTACGCTTGAAGAAAAGCAAAAGCTAGCTAAAGAACAAGAACAGGCACAGAAATTGAAAAGCCAGCAACCTCTAAAGCCACAAGCGACTGCAATAACACCTCCGTTGAAGCAGGTGAGAGATAATGAATTACTACATTGTTTCCATTGCAGCTCCGATGCTTTTTCCTTGGAAGTACTGTACGCAATTAGCATTTTTTCCCCTGTGGTTCACCTTTGTAATCACTGGTAGTAAGATAGTAGAGTTGAGAAAAACTAACTAAATTGTAATCTGCCTTCCACTTGCATCATTAGCTATATTTCCAACATTTTAAATTGTAGTAATTTGCAAAGGTGACATCACTACTGGAAGCCCGTTATTCTAGATGTGGAAAAAGCACATAGGAAAAAAAGGTTCTGCTCTCAAGAGTTCATTAACTAAATGTACAAAGGAGTTGGGGATAGGGATGAGACATGTAAGCAGATGGGCACAGTAGTACTTGGTCTTAGCAGTCAAACTAGAATTACAGAACAATCGAGCTTCTAGGTAGGGAAGAATGAAAATAACATAATTGCTCTTGTATGCAATTACATTTCGTGTCCAATTCCATTCAGTAAATTCCAGTTTCTGAAAAATCAATGCCACTTCTATATTAACTGCAAGAGCAATGATAAAGATTGTTGCTAGTGTGTATATGAAGAAAAAGTATCTAACTACATCATATTTTGCAGACAAAAGACTTGACAGATACCTTGATAGATAATATGTCATCTTTGACATCCATCAACAAAACTAAAGTTGCATCTTCAAACAGCTTCTCTTCTGTCCCTTCTATGGGTATTGGAATGGGATTTTCATCACCTGTTGACAGCACAAAGAGAAATATAACAAACGGACTAAATACTAGTATGGGTTTTCAGACTGCTGGATTCGGTATGGGAACTGGTCCCACTACGCAGAATTTCTTCGGTGGTCCGAGCGCAACAGGAACAACTAAAATGAACATTGTACCAACTGCCAGTATGCCAAATTACAGTTCCATGAGTGCTACATCTGCAGTCGCTCCACTGACGCAACAAAACAGACCCCCAGATATGTCTGCTTTAGATAACCTTTTTGGTCCTCAAAAGCCCAAAGTCAGTATGAAACAGCTGGCTCAACAGAAGTCAAACCAGTGGGTTAATCAGTTTATACCCCCACAAGGGTCCCCAAGTGCAAGTGGTTCAGTCTTGGGACCTCAGATGAACATGATAGGACAGCCTGGCTTTGGTATACAGGGTAATCCTTTCTTTGCTCCTCAGAACTTTGCACAACCAGCAAACACGATGACAAACAGCAGCTCAGCTAGCAATGACTTAAAAGATCTTTTTGGGTAAAATGTCTTATTTTCTTCTTTCAAAGGTTGATGACATTTGAATCATGGGTAAGCTGATTAACATCTTTTTTGATTAGGAAAAGTATGACTTGGGGAAACTTTCCACCCAGCAAAATAAAGAATTTTGCACTAGAAAAAGACTGTTTTTACATCGTCCTGGTAATGCAGTGGAATATATACGTGCAAAGTCATGTTATGTGATAACGATTTCCCTTCTCTTTACCCAACTTCAGAGCATTGGAGGTAGGAGGCATATATGTACTCAAAAAAGAAGCTAAATATTTCAGAATGATTCAGAAATGTATTCAATCAACTCCTGCATTTATATGAAATTTTATATCTTAAATTGAGCAAAAATGGTTAGCGGGTAATAATGCTAGTGAATACAATTTAGTGCTACCCTATGGATCAGTCTTCTCAATGTCTGCTAAATTCAACTCTTGATGATTTGTGTAGCCTGAATTTGGCATGAACTGTCATTATGCCTTATGACAGTATGTGAAAAGTAAACTCATGTTGCATCAGATAGTTTTGTTAGCCATTTTACATAGAAATATCTCTGATCCACAACTATACAACAGACTAAGAAAATAAAACATTTTGACTTTCTTCTCCTATGAGGAAATTAGGATTAATGTGGTAATAGAGTACCATAAGATTCAGGAGGCATAAAAAATGATTTTAAAAGATAGTACAAATTTGGGACGGAGGAAAAAACACTGCTCCAATGGACATGCTTATTTACATCCTGTTTTATAATGTCAGACCATAGTTACTAGCCCCATAGCAAAAGCCCTGTACCACCTAAGCAGGATTTTTAAACACTTTAAAATACTTGATCATATTTATTATGTATTTCTGTGTTTTGGCTAATTTGATACTGCTTCCAGTCGGTGTGGGGGAAAAAAAAAAAGCATATGAGTAGTTATGGAACCTCCTAGAAAAAAATGTTCTCTGTAAAGTTCAAATGCTGACTGCCCCAACTTGTTAAAATTGGTTGAATTACACAGAAGTATTTTGAATTACTTCATAGTCTTTGGCTCCATTGGGAAGATGGAAAAGGATTGCCTCGTAGAAGTTACTGTTGCACATGGTTGTGTGAAAAAGGAGATTGCCATTAATTGCCTTTATTAGAATAAACTCTTGCCTTTTAATTTTGTTTTAACTCAAGTCCTTATGAAGGATAGATGAATATGAAGTGAGTTCTCAAATACAGATTTGTAAGTTCGAGAATATATGGTAAATACACAAGTATTTCAAATCCTTTTTATTGTATAATTCCAAATGTAATAAAGCTCTCCAGAAAACCAAGCAGTAGTTTTTTCTGCTTCCCAGAAGGTAGATGTTCAGCTTGCCCATGATAGAATCTCTGCTCTGTCAGAAATTACAGTTGGATTTTAACTTTTTTTTTCCTAGGAATTTCAGGAACTTTCTTACATAATATTTTGAAGACTATAGCTGGCTATTTTGAGAAGGAAAGAACTAGTTACCTTTTTTATGGAAAGCCTACACACTTTATTTTTCAAAGCCTTTCACTGAAGAAAATGTTCTTTCATTTGCTGCTTAAGAAACCAAAGGGCCTTATGCTGTAAATGTGACTTGTATTTTGTTATATTTCCACTGTTCTCAGCAGTAATAGCATTAAGCATATTTCTTAAATAATTGTTCATGTATTATAGCTCTTGCCTTAGTCAGATTATTTTAAAATACCTGGGACCAGTGAAATTGTGGTTTAGAAAACAATGCCTAACATGTGATGCTTATGTGCTGTTAGTATTCATGGTAAACGTTGTAGGTTATGTTAAGATATCTGTGTAACTTAAATACGATACTAGAACTGTTAAAATATTATTTAAGTTCATCTACGGTTACTGGTACTCTATACTCTGAATCACACAAAGTCTTCTTTTTTATGTCAGCTTTTGAAAGCTACATTTTTTTAGGGTAACGTGAGGCAAAACTTTGAAGAATTACTTGAATCTGTATTCCTCTAAATTATTTGGAAAATAAGGTTATATTAAAATAACATCTCTTAGGACTTCACACTGTATTATATTAATATAGTGAAGGCAAGTTTAACCTCCAATGCCCTGATCTGGGGATTCAGTCCCTGATCCCTCTGGACTAGGGGTATTCAGAGTTGGATTTGGGTTTAACTTATCTGAGGGAAAGTTAACTACAAAATTTTTATCACATCTTATATTCCAGTCCTATTAAGCTATGGGTTTTGGGGATATGTGCTTTTGGCATGGGCTATTTGAGAATACAGTTTATTTTGTAAAAACAAAACCCAAAACATTCTGCAGGTTCTAATTAAGAGAGGCTCTTCTGTGCAGGTGGCAATGTGTTGGAATAAGGTCTTTATCCGGCTCAAGTAATATGGAATGTTTTATATTTTGTATTTCAGAACATGATTTGATTTCTGCTGCTTACAGCAATTTTCAGAATGGGCAGAGTAGAAGAATGATAACAAAGAAAATTGAAAAGCGTGCTCATGGAAATGATAGGAATTTTTTCCAGTTATTTAAAAAATAAAATAATTTCTGTTAAAATCAGAGGGCCAAATCCATCTTCCTTGCAGGTGCTTCCTGCTTAGGGAGTCAGGAAACCTTACATGTGTGAACTTCTTTAATTGTTTCTGCTTAACTTAAAGGGAGGAGGAGTCACAAGAGGTAAGTCACCAAAGCCTCTTGGCTCCTGCTATGGTAGCTTTTTTTTAGGAAACCTTGTCCAGTTGATCTCTCCGCTTGCAAACTGTCATTCTGAGGCTCTGCAAGAGGCTGGAAGATTCACGCTGTGGCCACAGTAAATGCCACTGTTGGAGAGCAACAGTTGCACTTTAGATGCAGTGGGAGGTAGGGAATAGGTGGGAGGAAGGGATAATATTCTAAAATAGGGGCATTCCAGGGACCTTCTGTGTCTGGACTTGGATGAAAAGCAGTGTTACATCTAGACTGTCCTTTTCTTTGTATTGTTTCTGTCCTTTTCCTTGCTGAACGCTGAAGCAGAGGGGATTGTTTAGCCTTAATGCAATACAGAATGGAGAACATGGGTTGGAAATTGATATCCGATCTACAAAATTGCAAATTCTTCCACTGAAAAAGTAACTTGATATGAAATAATATTGTTCAGGGCATTATAATATTTATAAACTGCACAAAATCTCTGCCATTTGTATTCAACCTAATTTAATAGAAAAATGTGGAAGCCTGGCAGGTTGTATCACTACCTGACAGCCCCCCTCCCAGTGCACCCACATCATCTTGAGCAGATCTTCATTAGCACTGTAGAGCCGAGAGCAGGGTTTGGGACTAGCTGCAGCCCGCTTGATTTACTTTACGTTAGTTTGTAAAGGAGAGATAAAAAGGAGGAGGGAATAAATTCCTATTTTTTAACTGATTTAGCTACATGTTTACTACAAAAGGAGAAATGCAAAGAAGAGAGGTAGAAATAGCTGCACATCTTGAGTATAAGCATTAGCTGTCCTTTGGCTATCCGGGTGTATAGCCTAAACGAATGCTTTTGTACTAAGTCAGTAGTCTTTTCCATATCAGAATTGTTGGTTCCAATTTTTTTTTGTTTTTAAGTATGAAAGTCTCTGAAGCATTTCTTTGAAAAACTAATTTCAGAAAACAAACTAATCCGCTGAACGGACTGACCGTATTAAAGAGGCTTGAAAAACCTCCTCTGCCGGGGCTGACTGAGAGGAACTTTGAAACGGCTGACTTGCCGACTAGCTGAGAAGCCCCTGGGCCTGCCTCTCGCAAGAGGAGAGACAGAGGGAGTGAAACGGCAAGTGTCGTTTCAAGGAAGGACGAGGGAGCAGATTTTCCGTTCCTTTTCACACAAGTCTTGTGGATAAGGCACAGAACAACCTGTGGAAAAGTCCAAAGATACCCTGCTTGTGTAGGAGGACAGTAGCATGAGAGGAGCCTTTGGAAAGGTAAGGGAGTCCCCCAGTTACTTGGGGGTGGGTAGGAGAGAAAATATCCTGGGAAATTGGATAGGGTTCCCTAGTTTGTTTTAATGAAGGTACTGAATCTTTTCCCCTCAGCTGTAATGTGAATTAGAGATGCCTTGTGAGGGCACTGTGGCCTTAGAGGTCTGCCCGAGTGTCGAGTGCCCCAAGTAAAAAGCAGAATTTTGTGATGTTTAGGTGTGCAACATATCAAGCCTTATTATTTAAAACTTTTCTTCTCTGTTCAGTTTTATTTTTTTAATAAGACCTGTTCCCCCTGTTTCACAAATACCCCACTAGCCTTTAAAGCAAGAAAAATACGTGTGTTAATTTTGGTATTGTAACCTCTATTGTGGGTACGTCAGTAGCTAGGAAGGTAAGTGTGGATTTAGATTACAGGGTAATACTTGATTCAATTATGTTGCGACATGTGAGCAAAAATTAAATGAGAAGTTAAATTTGAGTCAAAATTGCACAAGGCTTCCGTACAGACAGAGAGTTACGTGACCCTTTTGTTATGTGTTATAAATTCATACGGTTAGCGTGCCCACATCTGCATGACTTGAGCAGAAAAGGAAGGGTTCTTTTAAAAACAAATTTAGGAACGCTGGATCTCTCGTTGCAGATGAAATGTTTGGACTTTAGAATGACCTTTATTTATTAGGAGTTTATTATTTGTGGGCAGAAGGGTTGGGGTATCACTGTTTTGTGCCATTTCAAATGACAGAAATGTCGGGGCGGGAGGAGAAAGATTGAAAGATTGTGTTGTATGTGTGACCCTTTTTTGGTCTTTGCTAAAATAAGAGATATGCTGCATTTTATATACTCAGTGTGAACTTTTATTCTGAAATACTTGGGAGGAAATCGATTTGGAGAATTTCAGACGAGTTAGCTAATTGTCAAGTGAGGTCCTGCTTTGTATGTATCCTTTCATAGGTCCAAGGAATTACGCAAGGCACTAAAACCTCGGATTCATACATCAAATGCCCTTGACTTCCAGGCCTCCCGCTTAAATGAACAGAACAAATAAGCCCCTGAAGTTGTGTTGTCTTCAAGTTCTCTGACACAGTTCTCACTGCTGTACAGGTTTCTGAGATGAAGTTATAAATCAAAACTGCTTTAATGTGTTATAGTGAACTCAGGCCTCGGGCAAAATATTTGTTTATTTGTCTAATCGTACAGTCTCTGTACTAGTGGCAGTTTTATGTTTAGATTGTAAAACATTAAAATTCTTATGAGGTGTATAAAGTGGTGTTATTATAGTGTCAGCTGTGATTCATAACCACAACTGTCATAGCATGGCATTAGTGTATCTCTGGTTTGTTGGACAGCTCCTCAAAACAAATTTATTCTTGTATCAACTTTTAGATCAGTTACTTTACAAATATGTAAAAGCTGCAGTGACTGTTTCAAGGAATTCATATCACTTTGTACTGTGAATGAGGCTGCCTATGAAAATAAATGAACTTTTCATATTTTCATGTTGGAAGATATTTTCATTTTAAATTTCCATAAAATTACCTAATAGTAACGACTTTATGACTTTATATTTGTTGGAAATATTGTTTAACCTACAACAACAAATTAATTTTGAATTTACTAATTCCAGTTGCTGCTGTCCAGACACCCGTGAAACGTGGGTCATATTGCTCTCATGCAAAGCGTAAAAGTCCTGAGGAAAAACCAAATGTCACTAAATGTCTCTAAAGTTAGCATCTACCTTTTCTGAAGGCACACTAAACCCATGTAAGAATCTGGGGCTCTGACTGGGGTGGATGCCGATTTGTCAGTTGTGCAAAACTTACAAACAAGGGTTTCAATTAAACTCCTACCCATGGACAAACCTGTGACCAGTTAAATAAATATATTTATTCAGTATCTGGAAAAGAATTTAATATGTATTTTAGGCATGAATTTTAAACTAGGGACTTTTAAAAAATCTTCTATCCTTTGTAGGATATCTACCTCTAAACTGTATCACTATGGCACTAATGTTTTTTGTTACTGCAAATTATGGCAGTTGTAGACACGCAGCGAACTCTTGTGAACTGGGAAACAATAGAGATTTAATGGTCTGCTGGTATCTACTTAGGTATTCTGATGCTTTTCTGGTCAGGCTTTTTGCTGATGCCTTAATCATTATTTGGTCTTTTAAATAGAATTTGTAAAAATGCAGTAGAGAGTAATCATTTGCAGATCATTTAAAAGCCTAGGTTTTACACTGTTCTGCAGTAATTAGTCATTAAAATCAAGGATAATTAAAGGAGAAGTTTCTTTTGAAACTACTCACAACATCAGGGATAACATTTTTATTTTTGACCTAACAACCTAGGGCTTTGGTATTGGGAAGCAA